TTATGATTTTGGTAGTTTCTCATTGTCCAAGAGCATCTTCATTTTAAACATTGGAAAATAAAAAATATTAACCTTTTTTAATTTATTAAAAAATTACGTTCTATGATAAAAGTGAGATGTGAGAGACAATTTATATGTTTTATGTGTTAAGTTAATAATTCTTTTTAAATAGTAATTTTCTTTTGATTTTATGGGTTTGTTTGGTATAGTGGTTTTAACGAATAATAGATAGTGAGTAGCGGACAGTGGTTCATGAATAGATATAGTGAATAGCGGATAATAGATAATGAATTTAATAGATATAACTGTTTGGTTGTATAATAGTTAACGATTGTTATTTAATATTAAATGACTAATAAGAACATATTTAAAAATAATTAAGTGTATTTTTTTAAATATTTTTTTATTTTTTATTATTAAAATTATTAATTTTATAAAAATAATAATAAAAAATAAAATTAATTATAATAATGTAATTATACTCTCATTTTTATTTTTAACAAAGAAAAAATTATATTATTTTTAAATAAAAAAATTAATCATTTTATCTAATTAAAAAAAACTTGTTTTTTAATACAATATATTTTTTAATGATAAATTAATGCAAAAAATAAGAATATTATAATCATTTAATGTTATTAAAGGTTAAAAAAACAAAATTGAAATTTATTAGATAAAAATTAATCATTTTTTCTAATTAAAAAATTTTGTTTTTTAAGATAATATATTTTTAATGATAAATTAATGCAAGAAATAAAAATATTATAATCACTTAATGTTATTAAAGGTTAAAAAAATAAAATTGAAATTTATTAGATAAAAATTAATTAAAAATTGTGATAAAAACTTAAAAAATTAAAATAGATAAATTTATCAATAAAATTAAAAAAATTCCAATCCATTAATAATTTGATATAAAAAATTACATAAACTAGTTTTTTCAATTCGCTAGCGGTTTGAATTCTAATCATTATCTGTTAATTCCAAATTATTAAATAAAAATTTTTACTAAACACTTTATTTATAGCGGTTTCAAAATATATAAATTTATCAAATACTTATACTTAACGGTTTAAACAAAATCATTAACTGTTGTTCTAAAACTGTTATACCAAACATACTATATAATCATAATTATTGCTTATGATTTTTTTTTTCATGTGTGTAAATTTTAAAATTATCAATAAACTCAAAAAAAATGTATACGAAGTTAAGGGTTCGTTTGATGCAGCTTCTCAAGTACTTCAGTTTTTGGACACTATTTATATTTCATAAGTTTAAATTTTTCTCCTAAAAACTTACATTTTAAAATTTTTTTTAACTTAAAAAAAACCCTAAACAGTAAAATATCAAAAGTTTTAAATTCAAATTTTCATAAACTTCCTTGTTACTCTCTTTTTCTTATCTATAAAATCAACTTTTAAATTTTTTCTCCAATAAAAATTTTAATTTATTACTCATAAATAATACAAAAAAAAGTAAAAACTCCAACAAACTGCATCAAACATGTCCTAAAAAACCAAAAGGTTGAGTTATTGCTTTGCTATATATATACTCTTAACATATTTGAGTCTTCAATACTTGAATAAAATTTTTTTGAAATTAATTAATGATTTTAAATGTAATTTATTTTTAAAAAATACAAATTATACAACTTAAATCATATTATTAATCAATTTTTCTGTTATATTTATGTGTTTAGTGTTCATAAAGCTTTGGTTTCATAGCTAAGGACAATAATAAGCTCTCAAAAAAAAGTTTAAAGTGTCAAAATTTCACACTTGAAAAACTATGTCAACTATAATTTTAGTATTATAAATTTTCTTTGTTTATGATTTGTAAGTTAAATTTTGAAAACATGTTTCATGACTGTTAAGTGATAGAAATAATTTAAAAATCATCATACTAGGAAGTAACACTCTTTAGAATTTTAATTGCCCTTTTTAGTTTTAAATGCGGCAATTCATACACAAGATTGAATTGTTTGTGAGCCTACAAGTGCAATATGTTGTTAACCAAAAACTCAAAAGTACGGGGACTGAATGTGAAAGTAACTGAAAATCAAGACCTACTAGTGTAAAAATCAAAATATATTTTCCAGGGCTAATTTCGTCATTCAACATTTGATGTAGTTTTATCTCTCTTCCTCTGTTTCTACTTCCCAAGGAAACCCACCTGTACCCGTCGCCTCCATCTACCAATCCTCGAAAAACCCTAATTTCCCCTTCTTCTGGATGGGCTTCTCAAAGCTTCGACCCTCCAGATTCATCTCTTCAATTCAATCGTTTCCGAAGTGTAGACTACATTAATTCCACGTACAGCTGCATATCTGCGTGTGATGTCTTGGTACCTCTATCTTGGTTTGTCCCTGGAAACAGAGACTCTCGGGTTCTGATTTGGTCTTGGGTTGTTTGTTTCATGGCGAAAGGTACAGATGCGGAGAATTTTTTAGTGCTGTCTCAGGTAAGGACGGGTCTAAAGCGTGAATTTGAGTTTGCTTTGAAGGTGCGGTCAGAGATCTGTGGGTCTTTGGGGCGGACGCGATCGAATAAGGTGCAGAGTGGAGGCATTGGGAGCCCGGAGAGCCGGAGCAACAAGAGATTGAAGAAAGATGCCAAGATCAAGAAAGGGAAAGATAGAGAAGCTAAAGGCTTGGAGAAATCCGTGAGGGTTGTGGAGGATTCAGTTGATTTGATGAGTGAAGAGGAGGCTAAGAGCGATGTGGTGGATCTTGATGAGCCAAAAAGTGATGGTAATGGGGAAATGAAGGGTCATGTTTGCATGAATTTGGAACTGGAGAAAGATGGGGTTGTGGAGCCAGTGTGTGAAGATGAGATTTTGAAGGATGGAACTGCAGGCAGTTTAACTAATTTTGAAGAAATTGAGAAGACGCCAGAAAAGGCATTGGAAATGGATTTGGAAGAGAGAGAGAAGATTCAAGAAAAGGCCTCCATTGTGGATTTGGAAGATGTTAATCGTGAAGGGGGGACAGAGAAAGAAAATGAGCTGGAGAAGGAGCTGATGGATGTTGAAGAACGTAGGAGTGGAGGTGATACAGACAAGGATCAGGATAAAGAAATTGAACCAGAGAATTTGTTGAATGGAGGAAGGGAAAATGATCAAGCGGCATCTGGAATGAAAATTGAGCTGCAAAGTGCGAATGAGGAAGGCTCTAGCGAGAAAATGTCAATTCCAATAGGTGTTGTTGATGGTAGTAAGGCAGGGAACATGTTCGAGGAAAAGCCTCCCAGGAGGTTTACACGCTCTTCATTGAAGATGAAACCAGTGAAGAAAACTTGTGAGAACGGTTTTGAGCCAGGTACTGATCTCAAAAGTGGTGATGAAGGTAAAAATATAGATATAGATACTTCATTGAAGCATGAAATTGTGCAGCAAAATGGGAAGGAGGCCGGCTCTGGTGAGAAAGTGCCGATTTTGAATGGTGTTGTTGAAGTTAGTAAGGCAGAGAAAGTTTTAGAGGAGAAGCTTCCCAGAAGGTTTACACGCTCCTCTTTGAAACAGAAGTTGGAGGCAGTGAAGAAAACTGATGGGAATGATGTTGAGCTAGATACTGATTTCAAAAGTGGCAATGATGGTAACACTAAGGATATAGATACTTCATTCAAGCGTGAAATTAAGCAGCAAGCTGAGAAGGAGGAAGGTTCTAGTGAGAAAATGCCAATGTCTATGGCTGTTGTTGATGGTGGTAAGGCAGACAATGTTTTTGAGGAGAAGGCTCCCAGGAGGTTTACACGATCCTCTTTGAAGAAAACTGGTTGGAATGATGTTGAGCGAGCTACTGATTTCAGAAGTGGTAATGATGGTAACAGTAAAGATGTAGGTACTTCATTGAAGCTTAAAATGCATTCATCAAAAATTGTTATGAGGAATGCCCCATCAAAGTTGAAGGATCTTCTTGATTCTGGTGTGCTTGAGGGGATGAATGTGAAGTATATACGATACTCTAAGGTATTTTGGTCCTGTTGCATCCTTATTTTCCTCTTTAAAATGCTGTGCAAGTTTTATATTATTGATCTCTATATTGTAGGGCACTAAAGGATTGGCTGTTAATGGACTTCGAGGAGAGATCAGTGGAACTGGAATATTGTGTTTCTGTCATGCTTGTAAGGGTGTTAATGTGAGTATTTGTTTGCAATATGCAATGGTGCTCATTTTTGCAATTGTTCTGAAGTTGTTAGGCTGATTTTGAGTGCTCTGTATTTTTATAATGGACGTAGGTGGTCGTGCCAACCGTATATGAAGTGCATGCGGGTAGTTTGAACAAACGTCCAGCAGAATACATTCATCTGGAGAATGGAAAAACTCTACGGGATGTGATGAATGTGTGGAAAGAGAATTCATTGACTACAT